AAACACACAAACACACAAACACACAAACACACAAACATACAAACACACAAACACACAAACACACAAACACACAAAAACACAAACACAAACACAAACACAAACACAAACACAAACACAAACACAAACACACACACACACACACACACACACACACACACACACACACACACACACACGCGCACACACACACACACACACAAACACACACACACACACACAAACACCACACACACACACACAGACACACACACACACACACACACACACACACACACACACACACACACACACACACACACACACACACACACACACACACACACACACACACACGTGCGTGTGTGCGCAAGCTTGTGGGCCCTGCGCCAGCATTTTGCAACAGCACCCCGCACAGCGGCCGGCACTCTGGACAGGGACGGGGCACCTTGCAAGAACACCCTGCAACAGCACCTTGCTGGAGGCCATCGACCAGTGCCAGAATGATGTTTCATTCGCTTCAAGATGCTTGTCTAAAAGGTGGATACCCCAAGCCGGCTAAGTTGTGCTGGACGGGCCATTTCGCCTCAGGTCTGCCACTGCAAACCTTTGGGCGCGCCGTCTCTCAGACGGCCGCCTGGTATGGGACGGACGGAGGGATGGCAGAAGGGAGTGTGAAGGGTTACATGCTCGATGTGATGATGATGATGATGACGACGACGATGGCGTTGATGTTTGCTCGCCCTGAGAGTAAGCCGAAATCGTGCAAGTATGGTGATCAGTGCACCATGCACGCTCATTACCAGAGTGTTTGCCACGAAATGGCACCTGAGCATCTTCCGCTGACAGTTGCAGTTGTGTGTTGGCATGTGTTATGGTCTTGATTGCAAGTTGCATTGCTATGCTGGCTTGTCTTCCTTGTCATGCCTTATGCTGCATTGGTTTGCATTGTCGTGTCTTGGGGTCTGTTGCCTCGTGCTGTCCAGCCTTTCCCTCCCTCGCCGTGCTTCTTGAGCCCAGGATCGCTTGCGCTGGTTTTCCTCAACGTCGCCCAGGAGTCGCTGGCGCTGACGTGCAATGAGGACTACAGACTTGGCTTCTTTTGCATAGCAGCTCCAGCTATGCTGCATGTCAGCTCATGTTGAAGTGTCCAAACTTGGGACCCCTTCAAAAGGCTGGTCTTTGAAAGAACAAGTTCCGAGTTTGGCCACATCCTCGAATAATTCTCGCGCCACATGGCACTCTGGCCAGACATTCGGGCCGAGCAAGTCATGAATTTGTGCAATCAACCGGGGATGTCCACGTTTTGTGTGGGCAGTTTGTATCAGTGGCTATCTTTGCCACGCTTGAGCGCCTGTTCTGCAAGATTGGCTGGTAGGAGTTGTCAAACTGCTTCTTGGCCGATTCGTCACCTTTCAACGGAGCTCTTTGGGTGTGCCTTGAATTTAGGGACATCCAGGTGATTCTCCGTTGCCCTCCCTTTAACACCTCAAAGGGGGCGTACCACGTCCTTTGCGACTCAGCTTCGCCGCGGGGCAGGACTGCTTCGCTTCCATGGGGCTCACGGGCCGACTCGCTGTGCGGGACCTTTGGGCCAAGCGACAGCTGCCAGACACTTGGCCACACGTTCCGCGGGCTCATGCGCTTGGCTTGGGTTAATCTCTGTCGCTCTGTCTAACTCCCATCCCTTCCCTCCCTCCTCCTCCCTTCCTCCCTCTTCCTCTCTCTCTCTCTTCTCTTTCTTTCTCTTTCCTCCCCTCCCTTCCCTCCCTCCCTCCCTCCCTCCCTCCCTCCCTCCCTCCCTCCCTCCTTCCTTCCTTCCTTCCTTCCTTCCTTCATTCCTTCTTTTCTCTGTCTCTCTGTCTCTCTGTCTCTCTTTCTTTCTTTCTTTCTTTCTATCTACCTACCTACCTACCTATCCTCCCTCCCTCCCTCCCTCCCTCCCTCCCTCCCTCCCTCCCTCCCTCCCTCCCTCCCTCCCTCCCTCCCTCCCTCCCTCCCTCCCTCCCTCCTTTTTCTTGTTTCTTTCTTCCTGCCTCCCTTCCTTCCTTCTTTCTTTCTGTCTTTTTTTTTCTTTCTCTCTTCTCTCTTTCTCTCTTTAGGTTTGGTTGGAACTCCGGTCTCATTAAGAGCTTGCCTGGGGACTGATGACTCGAATTGGCTTTCACTTGGGTTGCTTGAATTGAGTTAGGTCAGGTTTAGCTCTGGTTTGGGGCGGTGTGAAGCCTTGGTTCAAGGTGCGGATCGATTCGAGTTAAGTTTGGGCAGGTTTGGGTTCGGCGGCTGAGTTTTGTTTGGGTTAGGACTTCGATTTGAAGGTTGGTTTGGGCTAGCTGCGACTGGGTTGAGTTTGTTTTCCGTAATACGTTGCAGATTTGGCGCATCGCATCAATCCAGTCTCCCAGTTGTCTACAGCCTATGATACTGACTCCAGATTGTAGTGAAAGAGGAACAGTGTGCCGGGACAGTCATGCAGAGGTGCGGTGTGCCACGTCTACCAGCTTTGGCCAGCTGGGCCCTAGCTGAGAATTTCTGGCACCACAGAGACTGCAAAGGTTCTTACAACCCAACTGGCCAACTGACATTGGCCTACTTGGGCCTGATGCCTTTGTACACGTGTAGGACTTCTTTACGGCTTGGCATTCAGAGGTGTGGCGTGCCACGTCTACCAGCTTTGGCCAGCTGGGCCCTAGCTGAGAATTTCTGGCACCACAGAGACTGCAAAGGTTCTTACAACCCAACTGGCCAACTGACATTGGCCTACTTGGGCCTGATGCCTTTGTACATGTGTAGGACTTCTTTCCGGCTTGGCATTCAGAGGTGTGGTGTGCCACGTCTACCAGCTTTGGCCAGCTGGGCCCTAGCTGAGAATTTCTGGCACCACAGAGACTGCAAAGGTTCTTACAACCCAACTGGCCAACTGACATTGGCCTACTTGGGCCTGATGCCTTTGTACATGTGTAGGACTTCTTTCCGGCTTGGCATTCAGAGGTGTGGTGTGCCACGTCTACCAGCTTTGGCCAGCTGAGCCCTAGCTGAGAATTTCTGGCACCACAGAGACTGCAAAGGTTCTTACAACCCAACTGGCCAACTGACATTGGCCTACTTGGGCCTGATGCCTTTGTACATGTGTAGGACTTCTTTCCGGCTTGGCATTCAGAGGTGTGGTGTGCCACGTCTACCAGCTTTGGCCAGCTGGGCCCTAGCTGAGAATTTCTGGCACCACAGAGACTGCAAAGGTTCTTACAACCCAACTGGCCAACTGACATTGGCCTACTTGGGCCTGATGCCTTTGTACATGTGTAGGACTTCTTTACGGCTTGGCATTCAGAGGTGTGGCGTGCCACGTCTACCAGCTTTGGCCAGCTGGGCCCTAGCTGAGAATTTCTGGCACCACAGAGACTGCAAAGGTTCTTACAACCCAACTGGCCAACTGACATTGGCCTACTTGGGCCTGATGCCTTTGTACACGTGTAGGACTTCTTTGCGGCTTGGCATTCAGAGGTGTGGCGTGCCACGTCTACCAGCTTTGGCCAGCTGGGCCCTAGCTGAGAATTTCTGGCGCCACAGTTTTTACGACCCAACTGGCACACTGCTTTGGCCTACTTGGGCCTGATGCCTCTACCAGCTTTGGCCAGCTGGGCCCTAGCTAGAATTTCTGGCACCACGTGTAGGACTTCTTTCCGGCTTGGCATTCAGAGGTATGGTGTGCCACGTCTACCAGAGTCTACCAGCTTTGGCCAGCCGGGCCCTAGCTGAGAATTCTGGCACCACAGATTTCACGACCCACCTGGCACACTGCTTTGGCCTACTTGGGCCTGATGCCTTTCTACATGTGTAGGACTTCTTTCCGGCTTGGCATTCAGAGGTGTGGTGTGCCTCTGCCAGATTTGGCCACCTGGGCCCTAGCTGAGATTTTCTGGCACCACGTGTAGGACTTCTTTCCGGCTTGGCATTCAGATATGGTGTGCCATCTACCAGCTTTAACAAGCTGGGCCCTAGCTGAGAGTTTCTGGCACCACGATTTTTACAACCCAACTGGCAAACTGCTTCGGCCTACTTGGGCCTAATTCGTTTGTACATGTGTAGGACTTCTTTCCGGCTTGGCATTCAGAGGTGTGGCTCATGTGCATACTTCTGAGAGCTTGGGAGCTGGGCGAGGGTTGGCCACCTGCCACTTGACTCTGAGGACATCACCAACACGAGCTTCACCGCCCATTTGCCTCCAGAGGGAGGCCATCAGATGATACTGGTCAAGCGCCTTGTTTGCATACATGGACGGGCTGGGACGTCGTTTGGACACGCCCCCAAACCAACGCTCGGATGGTCTGCAGTTCAAATTGTCACGTCAGAGGTGCTGGTTGCTGTTTGCTTGTTGTGGGCAGAGTTGGGAGCGAGCCAGCGGACCCTTCCTGAGCCACTTCCAGTTTCCGATGTTTAGATGAGACATATAAGGAACCATGTGAGCGGGCCAACAGTTGGCTGCTGGAGATCAGTCAAAGATCCCAAGCGCCGATCTGTGACCCACAGATCCTCAAGACAGGTTGTGCCCGCGTAAACAACTCGGATTCCCGTCCCCAGCGGTCACTGCAACAGTAAGCCTCAGGAAGCTGCTGTTGGTGCCTTTCTGAAATTGGACTGTTGCGTCGTACTTATTTGAACAGGCTTGGAAGGAATGAGTATGCCGTATCACTCACTGGTTGAAGCACAGGCGGGATAATTTTTTCGGATGCACGAGCAGGAGTGCTTGGCATTGGAGCTGGGGTGTCTGCTGCCCTGACTCCAGCCATGCCCGCCACGTGCTTTTTGTGCGACACTGTTCTTGTTCGTTGGGAAGCACCGACAGACGTGCGCACCATCCAATAAATCAATAGTTCCCCGCCCAGATAGCAAAGAGCTCCATTCCTTTCTGGCGGTCAACCTTTCAAAATTTCAAGGGCGGTTGGGTTCGATGTGAATCTGGAGAGTTGTAACCTGACACGCGTCTCTTGCGCTAGGCAAGTGGCCGGCAGCATTGTCGTTTGAAGCTGTGCAGCCAGGATACTGTGGGTTTGGGTTTTGGGCTTGCGATCGATTTTTTGCTCCGAGCACATGTTTGACGAGTGCCCACCCGCCGTCAATCCTCAACACAATCGACAATCCTTTTTGGGGACGGTTCTGACGTCTGCTACTTCAAACAGGTAGGATTATCAGACAATCTTTGAACAATCCTCACCCCATTCCTTCCTGATTTCAGCGGCATCAAGCTTCCCTTGAGCTGTGTGGCAGCTCGCTGAAGATGCTGGTGGTGCAATTCTTTGTAGATGAGGCGTTGCTTTGCTTCAGAGCTTGTCGTATGAAGTGCGGGATGCTCGGAAAAAGAATATCAAAGTGCCTTCGCTTTTGCAGTGGGCTTTAGGCATGCCCGACCGCAGAGCCTCCCACCAGCCTGGCAAGTGGGTAAGTGCCTGGGATCCCGCAGTGGTCACGGCATGCATTTGTCGCCGGCTTCTGATTTGCCACATTGGAGCGGCACTCTTTGTCCCATTCTGGTCCACCCTTAGACAGTTTCCTGAGCTGGTACCTCGCTTACATGGTGCCAGGATGCTGGGGATCCTGGCGGCTCGCGCGGATTTCCAAAAGGCGGAGACACGCCCGGTACGGTCGGTTGCTCATTTGGGGTTCTTGTTTTTGGAGGGTACCCTTTTGATGGTTGCTTTAAGGGAAAACCAAGGGAAACCACCCCAAAAAGGGGTTTTTTCATGCCGCTGGGCAACTGGGTTCTGACTGAAATACGAGAAGGACCAATGCCAATGCTCCGGGCGGCATTCTCATCAAGGGCCCCTTCAGGAAGCGTACGTTTGAGTGCTGATTAAACCGGCCTTGTTTTTTGCTTAAATTGGGTAGCCTGCTGGATGGCGCTGGAGGAGGAAGAGGAATGCTCCAGTTGTATAGAGTTCAGCCTCCCAAGCTCGACATGATGCGACCGGATATCCGTGCATCGATCCTTCCATTTTGTATTTTTATTTTTTAAAGGAGGGGGGGGGAACCTGAAATGAATGGAAACAGGGGGACTGGCCTGACTCATAAGAGGGAGAATCTGGCGAGCAGGCTTTGCGCTCGCGAGGCTTTGCACAGTGCTTGCTGCTTTCCCCTGTGGCTTTCAGCTGGTAGATACTGAGCAATGACTAGGTTTCAAGAGGATTCACCACATTTGCCCACTATCTGAGGTTTCGCAGAGTTCACATGGCGGGCATCAGTGGAAGCCATCGGAGCACGCCGGCAAGTGAGATGCAGAGGGTCGAATTGGAAGGTTCAACAACCTGTTTGAAATATTTTGGATAAGGCAAGCTGCCATTTCTTTTCCGCCAAACATAGGTAGCTGCCCCTGCTCACAGACCCAGATGCACACAAACACAGACTCACCTTCAGCCCAGCCTTGCGAGCATTCGCCACCCAAAGCTCAGCACGAGTGGAGCTCTCATTCGCCTCGCTTACTGAGCTAGGTTTTTCAAAGCACAGCTACGCAGTTGCCTTCACGAGACACAGCTTAGTTCCCAGAGTCCTGTCCTTTCAGCTGGTAAGGATGCCAGGCGCGGACCCGTCGGGTTGGGCGGAGCTTGGATGATTCGCAGCTTGAGTTTAAAAGTCGTTGGAGCGGTTGCGAAATTGGTAGGGTGCGTTGGTGTGTTTTGGCTTGGGGCAAAGGGCTAGTGGTTCTGACAAAGATGTTGCGAGGCCAAGACTGGCACTTGAAGGTTCACAGCGAAGGACTGGTCCAAGCTGTCGACATCTGTCGACCAACACCAGTCAAAGTTAGGGTGACCGGACTTGGTCCGACCATTTCCGGATCCTTGCAACTTGCAAAAGTCCTTGTTTCAAGGATGACATCTGTGACTTTTGTTTAAAGGCCAGATAGCTGACAGCTTTGGGGGTCCTAACTTCTACTAAAGAGGGGCGCGTGACTTGCGAGATTGAGGGCAGGGTGCTGGGAGGCATGAATTTTAGGGTGCTGGTGCAGGTGCGGTTTGAGGTGCTGATGGCGGTGTGGGCGCATCTTGCGAGACTGACGGCAGGCTGCTAAGGGGCATGCAATTTGGGGTGCCAATATTACGGCAGGGTGCTAGGGGGCATGCAGATTGGGGTGCTGGCGCAGGTGCTGTTTGAGTGCTAGGGGGGACGCAGTTTGGGGGGTGCTGGTGCAGGTGCTATTTGAGGTGCTGGTTACGGTGTGGGCGTCTTACTTCGGGGCAAGCTGGTGCTGGCAGTGCCTGTTTTGCGATGCAGTCAGGATGCTGGTGAGGTGCTGTTGAAATGTCCCAAGCTATCTGGGGTCTACGATGGTGTAATTAAAGGGAGCCCAAAAGCGACACCATCATTTTGGGGGTCTCCTGGAAAGAAACCCATGATTCTCAAGTTCGTGAGCTTGATTCTTGGAACCTTCTCGCACTGATGGTTCAAAGCTGCTCTATGGGTGGTCCCTTTGCAGCGGGCGTATGTTGTTTGAAATCGATCGCAGGGACACTGCAAAGACTGCAGCAGATGTGAAGTCTGTGTATGATTGACACAGGGAAAGTGTCTCGGAGAAACACATCCTGAACTTGAAGGCTTTCAGGATCATTGTGTCGCTATGGCTTCATGAATGCTTGCAACATCCCGACAATTTAACATGTCTTCACGCTTGACATACGGTTCGAAGTTTAGGAATCCGCCGCGCCGCTCCTCCCTTTTGCTCGTAGTGCTTCCGTCTTAGGCAGAAGTAGGATTGTGGTAGGAGGGAAATCCTCCTACCTGATGATCAGGAGTTGCAGCCCCGGCATTGCTTGCCGGGGCTGCGACCAGTGGAGGGTCTCCTCGCAGGGAGCTTCCAGGCACTGCGGGGTCTGCCGGGGGCTCGGGGCATTGAGGAGTCTCTGCCTCGACCCCCGGCTGTCGGCGCCATCTGATTTGAGTGCCCTTTTGGAGATTCTCCAGGGCGCTCAAAGCCAGGTGCTTGTGCTCCTTGAGCAGAAGGGAGCCAGCAGCCGACGGGAGCCTAGCCGATCTCCTCGTAGGGAGGTTCGGGAAGGATCTCCTCGAAGGGAGGTCATCAGGCCGACCCGCAGTGAGTGGCGGCCGTCTCTTAGAGAGAGAGACGAGGCCCGGGTGCAGAGAGAGATCCTCTCTACTGCAACCCCAAAGAGCAGCTCCAGTGCTCGTGTGCCGCCACCTGTTCCTCCTAGAAGGGAGGACAGGAGTGCCGAAAGACCAGAGGCTGAGCGTCTGGTCCTGGCCCCAGCCGAGGCGAAGAGGAGGCCTGTGGAGCCCGCCTATCCCCCTCCGAGGTGGGAGGGTGGAAAGGAAAAGGGCAAGGGCAAAGGCAAGGTTAAGGGCAAGAGCCCAAAGGGCAAAGGAGAAGGAGCTTGGCCCAAGAGGAGCAAAGGAGTTAAGCACCGCAGTCGTCAGGAGCGGTGGTGGGCCGAGGGTGGCCCGGGCTACGAGCGTGCAAGGGAGAGATCTCGGTCTCCTAGGAGCAGTGAGGTTGAGGAGGTAAAGGAGGACACAGCCGCCCAGGAGGAGCGTGAGGAGGAGGAGTTCCGTGCGTTGGACCTCTTGGGAGATCGCCGCCCCAGGGGGGAGGAGGAGATCGAGCGGGACTTGGAGTTGGAGGAGGCAGAGGAAGTGCTTCCCGGCATCAGGAGGCCGGTTCCCTTGGAAGGGGAGTCGCAGGCTGAGGCCTGGGCCAGGAAAGGACGCTCGCTTGAGGTCCTGAGCGATTTGGATTAGGTAGAACTCCGAGGGGAACCTCGCCGGAGCCCGCCAGAGGCTTAGTGTGGGATGCCAGTGCGACGCCCTGCTGCAAAGGTCGTGTTAAGGAAGCCAGCTGCTAAACTCCCCGTCAAAAAGAGCCCAAAGCTTAACAAGGAGCTTGAAAGGCCTGGTATCCTTAAGAAAAGCCGGGGCGGCAAGAGCCCCAAGGAAGCTGAGATTGAGAATCCATTCCTTCCTTTTGACTCAGGTGCCATTTGGATTGGATCGCAGTTGCATTTGAAGGGAACTTATTGCAACAACCCTGTGGAGGTAGTAGGTGAGATCACTGCACGGTTTGAGGATTCCAGTGGTAACTACCTTAAATTGCAGGTATGTGGGAGCCCTCATCTTCACGTCCAAGAGTACGTGCATGGAGCAATCCGGGCCGGGCTAGCAGGAGAGTTGTTTATACCCGGGGACCGGAGTTTTTCCACCCCGTTCTGATAAAAGAGCCAGATCCTGCGTTGCCCTGGTGCCGAAATCTAGTGGTAGGAAGCAGCCCGACTCCTGGAGAGGGAGATCTAGGTCAGTTGCATCAAGCCGCCGAAGCCATGGGTTTCAGCCAAAATCCGGTGCCCCAGGCCCCGCCGAGCGCTCCTCGATTAGGAGCAGGCCAGCCAGATCCTTTGCAGGACCGGGACGGGGGTTCGGTGAGCAGTGGGGAGAGCAGTGGAGTCAAGAAGAAGAAGAAGAGGAAGAAGAAGAAGGGAAAGAGATCAGGAGGGCCTCACAGACGCACAAAGGAACGCATCAAAGAAATGCTAGTGAGGTCGAGATGGAACTGGAGAGGCAGCAGCATAGACCCCATGTTCAAGAAGCCTCGTCTCAGGGTGAAACGAGATCATGGAGGGAGTTCCAGCAGGGGAAGCAACAGCTCCTCATCAGAGGACTCAGCCGAGAGCGGAGGATTGTTCCAGGAGCCCAGTCAAGTGAGACGCATATCCCAGAAGTGCCCCGGCCTCCTCACCAGACATGGGATGTCGGAGGCAAACAAGTTCCTGAGGCAAGCCGAAGGTTTCTCCTCGGGGGGAGACGAAGTTCGACCCGTCATGATGAAGTATTACCGCCAACAGGTTGTCCAGAGCGGGGCAATGCCGAGCAAACCCATGAGGAGAGAGTTCCAAACGCTGGCAACCTGCCTAGACAGCTTGGTAGAGGGGAATGTGTTAGGGGCAATGGACATCTGCATGCAACGGATGAAGAGCCTAGAACTCATGGCTCAGGGGGGATCCCCCGAGACGGCCATGAAGGTCGAAGTGCTTCTCCCCGACACCGCTCGGTTGCTGTCGGCAGGGGAGGGACACAATGCCGCCCAGGAACAACGGACATCAGAGCGCCTGGAGACCCAGCTGCGAGGAAGCGCGGGGGGGAATCGTTGGATGAGTCGTTGGGAACCCCCCAAAGGGGACCGGAAGGGGGATGGCAAAGGAAAAGGAAAGAAGGGCGAGGGAAAGGACAAGGGGAAGCGTTGGGAGGGGGGCAAGCCAGCAGCTCAAACTCAGGTAGTTGCCCCCTCCTAGAGCCTGCCGTAAAGTGTACCAGTGCATGCCCAATTTATGATTGTACTAGACCGCCGCAGCCTCGAATCCCTCCTTTGCCACCCCGTGCTAGGACTAATAACCGAGGGCTCTTAGTTGGAGAGTTAAGCGTTTTGGGATCACGACTCCTGGCCTGGGAGAAGCTGCAACAAATCAAGGATGCTGTTCACTCCAGCATACCCATCACGGGACGGGACTTGTTCCCGCTCCCTCTCCCAGACTGCCAGGAGCAGAAATGGGGTTCTTGGTGCCATGCCGGTGTGCATGCCCTGAACGTCATGACCGTGGGGTCACCAGAATCGCCCATGGGGGCTGGATCACCTGGACAAAGGAAACTGCTGTCTGAATTCGTCTCCGTGTTCTCTAGGAATGAGACTTGTTCAATTGCATGATTCCCGAGGATTCCATTGAACATTTTTGGAATTCCAAGAGCGTGAACGCATATGGTGAAGAAATCCACCATTGCAGGTCGGTGGGCTGGGCCAATCTACGTTCGAGCCTCCCGACTGCAGAGCAGGCAGGAGTGCTATCGCCGGAGATGGTAGCCACTGGGGGAGTACTAGATTTTCTGGAACACCCCACCAAGTATTTGTTGCCGTTGGATGAGAGGGTTAGCATGAAGACCCCTCGCGTTATGATCAAGGATGATGATTGGGACGAAGTGTCTCTAGGCTTGGTGAGACGAGGAATCTGCGAGGTTATTGCAGTGGAGGATGTTTTCCATGTGCATGGATCTCCTTGTCTGGGAGGACTCTTTGGTGCCTAAGCATGAGACCACCCCTGACGGACACGAAGTATTGCGGTTAATTATGGATCTGCGCCCCATTAACCGTAATTTCCTAGCAGTTGAGGGTGACTTGGGAACCTTACCAATGGTGACATCGCTAGGCGGGCTAGAGGTAAGGCCGCATGAGGACCTCTTGATAAGTTCAGAGGACATCAGGGCTATGTTTTACATAGTTGGCCTAGGACCTCAATGGCGCCCGTTTTTGGCTTTCGGTAAGGAGGTTCCTGATCAGCTGAGGCCTCCGGGAGACAGCCGTCCCCACGTGCTTACCAGTCGTGTGCTGCCAATGGGGTTCATCAATAGCGTAGCAGTAGCTCAACACATCCACCGAGAGATAGTCAAGCGAGCTCTGTCCAAGGTAGGACCTGGTGCCGAGTGTGAGTTCAGGCGTGACTCGACTTTCCCTCAGTCTGAGGTTGGATACCGAGTTTACTTGGACAATTTTGACCTGTTAGAGAAAACTAACTCGTCAGCCGCAGAAGTCTTGAAGGGATCCAGAGCCCCCTCTTCGGATGCTCTTAGACGAGAGTACGAGAAGTTGAAAGTGCCAGCCAACCAGAAGAAGTCTGTCAGCCGAGCATCGACAGCTGAAGTGCAAGGTGCCCTGGTAGATGGAGTTAGGAATATAGCTTACCCGAAGCCTGAAAAGTTCGTCAGGTACCTCAGGGCAAGTTTCTTCTTGCTGTGTCAAACTGTCGCCAGCCTAAAGCAGTTGCAAATTGCCTTGGGAGGGTTGGTGTACCTCTTTCAGTTCCGCCGTCCGCTGATGGCCAACCTTAATGAATGTTGGTCATTTCTGGTAGAGCTCGGGCGCCAGGATCCTTCGGGGACTGCCATGTTTCCAATACCCACTGAGGTTAAGAAAGAACTCTGGTTGAGCCTTAGTCTTGCCCCGCTGGCCTACATTTGCTTTGGAGCCGAGTTCAGCGAGGTTGTCACATGCTCGGACGCTTCCGAGCACGGAGGCGGGGTCTGCCAATCTGTTGGTCTTACTCCTATGGGGCAGCAGGCCGCATTTAAGACCGTAAGGGGGGAACAACCAGACCTCTTAGGCGATGACGGTGTGTTGGTCATCTCGCTGTTTGATGGGATTGGAGCATGTCGAGTAGCTCTTGAGCTCATTGAAGCCAATGTGTGTGGTTACATTGCCGTTGAATGTGCCGCACCAGCCCGGAGGGTCGTGGAACGCGCTTTCCCATCAGTCCTGTTTGAAGATGATGTCACGCAAATCTCAGAGGCCAATGTGTTGAATTGGGCTAGGCGCTTCCAACGTGCTAAAGTGGTGTTGGTGTCAGCTGGTCCTCCTTGCCAGGGAGTCAGCCAGTTAAATGCTAGCCGAAAAGGGGCGTTGCACGACCCTAGGACAAAGCTGTTCCAGCTGATCCAGCCAATTGTTGAATGGGTCAAAATTCACATGCCCTGGGCCAGTGTGCGAAAGTTGGTTGAGAATGTTTTCAGCATGTCAGAGGGTGACAGGGCTGCATTCACCACCGAACTCAAAGTTTTGCCCTATGTGGTAGATGCTGCAGGACTGAGCCCATGCCGACGGCCTCGGTTGTGGTGGTTTGACTTCCCTGTTGAAGGTGAGGACAATGTGTGCATCCAATTGCCTCATTCATCAAAGCCTCACGAATATGGTCGAATCTCCTTCCAGGTAGATGTAGAGGTTTGTCACTACCTGGAGCCGGGGTGGGAACCCGTGTCTGGCAAGGACCATCGTTTCCCCACCTTGACAACCAGCATCCCCAATTCATCAAAGCGAATATGGTCGAATCTCCTTCCAGGTAGATGTAGAGGTTTGTCACTACCTGGAGCCGGGGTGGGAACCCGTGTCTGGCAAGGACCATCGTTTCCCCACCTTGACAACCAGTATTCCCAAATGCCAACCAGGTTTTAGACCTGCGGGGATTAGCCAATGCACAGCGGATGAGCTCCTGGCGTGGGAGAAGGACCGCTACAGATTTCCTCCATACCAATATCGTGTCATTCATGGATTGAAGCATCGCAAGTTTGGGTGGAGAATCCTCAGCACTCGTGAGAGAGAGACATGCATGGGTTTCCCATTGGATTACACAGCAGAGTGCATTCCAAAAGGTGAAAGAAAATCTAACCCATTGCTGTTGGATGACACTCGATGCAGTTTGCTGGGAAACTCCTGGTCTGTAGGAGTCACCGCGTTCCTGTTGATGTCTCTTTTGCGCCCTTTCAACTTGTGTGCCCGCCTCAGCGTTGTGCAATTGGAAGAGCGATTGAGGCCCGGCGCTTCGCCAGACCTAGTGGGTTTTCTGCAGCGCCCTCACTGGGAACGACCGCGAATGGGCAAAGCCACAGACCTTTCCATATCCTTGGTGAAAAAGCTCTCTACTTTGGTGTCACAAAAGGGAGCCGACCTGCTCCTGAGCCAGGAACACGACAGCTTGCCCCAGCATCAACGCCTGAGAGTGGGATTGGATCCGCGCCTGTGGAAGTGGAAAACGGTGTGTCACTGGCAGTGGAAACGGGTGACAGGTATGCTTCCAGAGCATATAAATAAGTTGGAATTGCGTGCACTGTTGTCATCAGTGAAATGGAGAGTTTGCCGTTTGCATCGGGCGCCTGTTCGTTTTGTGCATTTGGTTGATAGCCTAGTCGTGCTACAGGCCTCCTCGAAGGGACGGTCCAGTTCGCGTAAGTTGCGCCGAGTGATGCAACGATTGTCAGCTTGGCTCTTGGTAAGTGGCTCCATCATGATCCTAGGATACGTATCGACGCACCTGAACCCCGCAGACGAACCCAGTCGCAGGAGGTCCAAACGCAAATGGTCAAGCGTTGCGTAGTGGATTCCCCTAAGGAAAAGGTGCGTAAGGAGCGTCGGCAAAAACTAGGAACTTTGAAGAGCCTCATAATCAAGCCAGCCACAAAAGTCCGATATGATCGTGCTTTTGCTTCATTCTTGCAGTATCAGAGGAACCACCGCTTAGCGCTTGCTAAATCCAATCCTGAATTAGATGTTCAACTGTCGGACTATCTTGAGCATCTATGGGAAGAAGGTGAAAGCCGCTACTTGGCCGCTGATACTTTATCAGGTGTGCAGCATTTGCAACCCTCGGTAAAGGGGCACATACCACAGGCCTGGCGCCTGCTGAAGGCTTGGGCCCAGAATGAATTGCCTGCACGGGCTCCGCCCTTCACAAAAGAACAAGTTGAGGTCTTGTGTGGATGTACTTTAACCACCCCTTGGATGCCTCTTGCCCTCTTGACAGGTTTTTGGGGCTTGCTGCGCACTGGTGAGCTTCTAAAAATACAAGCCTGCCATGTGACCCCCTCAGGGGCACATGTACTAATTCATTTGGGTGAGACAAAAATGACATCTCGCAATGCCGGTGTGGAAAACGTGTACATTCATCATATCTGCACGGCTCAACTGTTGCAGGCATGGGCCTCCGTAGCCAAGCCACATGATTATCTTGTGCCTGTGTCGCAACACCAGTTCAGGTTGTCCTTCAGCCACGCCATCCAAAAGTGCCAATTCACGGGGTTCAAGCCTTACTCCTTGAGAAGGGGAGGTGCTACCGCCTTGTACATTGACACTAAAAGCTACACTCAAGTGTGCCAGCAGGGGCGATGGGCTTCAGAAAGAACTGCCCGCATTTATATCTCCGATGGAGTTGCACTTCTAACCGAGCACTCGTGGGTCATGTCACGTAAGCAAAGGTGTTTTCAGACCATGTGGTTCAATAAACTTAAAGCACTTGAGCTACCGATATATCGGAGAGCAGGGGAACGTGGAAAGGCATTCTCCAAGTCGCCGATGATGGTTAGCTCTAATGCTACCCACTTTTTTGCACCAAGGACGTGATTCCGCCTTGCTTCCGAAAGTGATGCCGACTTGGATTGGTTGGATGCCAAAGCAACCCCGAAACTTTCCGGACTAGTTTCTCTGTTTTGTACAAACTACTTGCTGGAGTGAAAAAAGGGAGGGAAGGCCGAGCGTGATTCCTTGACATACGGTTCGAAGTTTAGGAATCCGCCGCGCCGCTCCTCCCTTTTGCTCGTAGTGCTTCCGTCTTAGGCCCGCCCGCCCGTCCCAGGGGTTGCACGGAAAGGCATTCTCCAAGTCGCCGATGATGGTTAGCTCTAATGCTACCCACTTTTTTGCACCAAGGACGTGATTCCGCCTTGCTTCCGAAAGTGATGCCGACTTGGATTGGTTGGATGCCAAAGCCGAAAGACTAGTTTCTCTGTTTTGTACAAACTACTTGCTGGAGTGAAAAAAGGGAGGGAAGGCCGAGCGTGATTCCTTGTTTATGTTGGACGGGACAGCGTTTGGGCGCCTGAGCTGACCTTTTGGCCTTGTCGGTTTGATTCAAGTTGATGTGGTGAACAAGACATCTGGAGGGGCTCTATTGTCACTCCTCCTACCCTGCGGTCAGAAACGAGCGCTGCCAAATAAGTTATCGCTTTTGACAAGGGCTTGAAATGTTTGAAACGTTGGCGTGCCTTTTTAGAAGGCAACGTCGGATTGCTGATGCTTGTTCACCTGGCTGGTTCGGAAGTCAGTACAATTGTTATAGACATTCTGTGCTCCGGATGCCAGATGGGGGCAAAAGCTTCGTCAAGGAGGGCAGGGAGGACCTGATCGGGCAATCGCCCAAGGTTGAGTTTGTTGGAAGTGGCTTGGGACTGGTAGAATTTGTTTCAGCTATGTATGTTGCCCGTGCATACATGGAGCCTTTGTTTTGTTTAGATGAGAGATGACGCTCTACAAATTGCCTTCAGGCCTTAGTTACGCCGCTGGTCGTACGCGGGGACGTATTTTCAGATTTGGAATTCCCAGGGGGGAGGGGTGGTTTCCTTTGGACAGCAGCCCAAGCGGGCATAACTCTTCTAAGACGTCCCGTGCAAATCAGGGTAGAGATAATGTTGTGGAAAGCAGCCTGGGCTGCCCCACAAGACAAAGCTCTTTTCAACGGCCAAGCCCATAGTTCTCCAGCTAGCAATTCTGGATAGAGTTTTACGACGCAGCCGACCGTATTACACCCAATTGAGAGGGGGGTTACCACAAGTCCCACCGGCCAAGGAGCCTTTCTCCACTGGCTAAAGGAGCAACTCGCCGCAGCCCTGCAGGACACAATCTTCGTGGGGGGCCTACGGAAAAGCACCACCGAGGCCAGGCCGCGGGTTTAAATCTGTGAGTCGAATGAATCAAGGGCCTTTGCCTTTTGAATGGCATTTAAGGGGGAACCCAACAGAAAACCGACCAGTTTTAGTTTGTTTTTTTTAAAGGACAAGGCGAACCAGGATGTCTCGGGGCCATGTTTGTGTGATTTCCGTCTGGCCAGCTTTAGGACAAGGTGGCCGGGCACTTTGCGAAGTTCGGCCAGGCGGCAGCCTCAGTGTTTGGGAGGCGGCCGTCCACTTGTTTCAAACACGGTCATGAAGCACATAAGGCAACGGCTTGGAGTCTTGGAGTACTGTATTTAAAAAAAGTACGGAAACCATGTGTACAAACTATGCATTGCGCGCATCGATATCTGCAAGGCCACGTGTACTTGGAGGAGCTTCGACAGGGCAACAAGCAAGCTGCAGCGTGCATGTTGGAGACCTCTGGAGCGCGTCAGCTTTGCTTTGGTATCCCTTGCCTTGTTTCTTCATTTCGTGCAAATTCCGATGGTATTAGTCTCAGGGAGCGGTTTGATCTTGGTGAGAGCAGTTTCACCAAGTGCCAAGTAGGACTCTGACCGACTCAGCATATCTTGAGGTCACCAACGTGGAGATCAAGAAGCAGCCGGATGGGACTTCCCGGGGCTTTGCCTTCGTGACCTTCGCGGAGAAGGCGATGCGAAATCGACAGGACTCGTTGGTTTGTGGAAATTGTGGACCTCCAGACCCGAAAGATCAACGAAAGAAGGCCCCTGTCATCCACCATAAAGTAGATAGAAAGGCATGTTGGCAAACGTTTTCCTACACCCGAGTCTCCTTTGAGGAATGCCATGTTTTGGGTACCGGACCCGACAGACCCGCCCCTGCATGGCTGGTGGCATGTTGGTTGAGTCGGTTCCCGTTTGAATCCGTGCGCGACAGGGTCCCTGCGAGTTGATAAACATCCCGATTGCGCGAAGTGACCTCTGCCAGCATGGGGAAGGTTCCTTTGTGATAGACAGAGCAGCTGCAAACCCTGCAACAACTTTTTTGAAAGGGAACGGACCGAGATTGATGTTTAGGTGACAGTGGTTTAAGCGTGTTGTTTTCACCCAGCCTGTGGCACGTCTTTGTTCTGGGAGGGTCTACTTCTGACCACTTAGCGCGGAGCCGACGCAGTATCATGTTTCAGCCTGCTTCGCCTGTGAGTGTTCGGGTTTATGCGGAAGACAATTGATTAGGGCCAGGTTGAAGGGAAACAACACGTGTAAAGGGAATTCTCAACGTTGCTCGCCCAAACAGGAGCCGCGAGAGCCGAGCCAAACGGCATCACTTCAAGCGATATTCTCGCTACTCAGGAGTACTCAATACTCTGACCTGCTAACATGTCGATTTGTCCATGACCTGCAATGCCGCGAGCTTCTCACACCTCTCGCAGGCCTTTGTCGCCAAGGTGCTGGAGGCGCATTCCAGCCACATGCCCGGGCACCTGTCGACATTCGTCACTTCACTTCCACCATGTCCTTTTTTGGGAAGCAAGGGTCACTACTGTCGTCTACAGGGCATGACATGGGGCACCAGAATAATTAGGACATGGGTTTCCAAACAAGATGTCGTTTTCTTAGGAAGACACGTTGGCATGATGACCTTTTGTGTCCAGCCCTAAATGGGTGTTGCCGTCCAGAGTGGTTGTCTTCCTTGTCGTTCCCCGTCAAAGGCCAAAAGAGGGGTGCTCGGTTGTGAGACAACAATGGAGACATTCAGTGACACAACCAGAATAAATTAAGCCTGCCTCGTGTGTACAACACCTAGCTCGAGAAAGTTTCCCTTGTTGCGGGCAGTTCTGTGTCCAACTCGTGTCGACATCCGCACGAGTGGCCAGCTGAAGCACGATGGCCACTATTCTCGGATCTTTTCGCGATGACGAAGGTCATACCTTGTTCGGGGGATCATGTTTGGGATCGGATGGGAACCAACCTGGGCAGAAAACTCGGTGAACATCGGTGAACAAAATGTGTGGAAGACGCATGAAATGTGGTGTTCAATCTTCACCCATTGCCGGTTTCGGATCCCCTTCTCCCACGCCGAGCCCTCGAGCGCTCTAACTGAGGACCTGCACCGTGGCTCAGTCGTGTCGCTTGAAGATACCCTTTTTGGAGTTGCTTCAGGGAAAGCCAAAAGAAACCAAAAAACGAAACCACAGGAAAGCCAAAGGGAAACCAAAGAAGAGCCATCCATTTTACACCTTCTCGGGGTCCCGTCCGAGATCTCACCCTCGGGTCCCGAGGATCGACAACAAGTGGGTGGACGTGAAGCCGCAGGTGGCCGCGGTGCCCAAGGCCGAGGAACATGGGGTAGCCGCGTAGCCCAGCGTCGCACGCAGCCTCGCTCTGGCTCAGTCGCACGCAGCCCTCTGCACAGCTCGGCTCGCAGCGCAGCAGGGATAATTCCATTTTTCTTAGGCAGGGGTGGGTCTTGCGAGCGTCAGGATGAACCCTCTGCGGGAATCGTGCGTGTCGGATCGCACTCGCTGTCGCGCCTTGAGAATGTTCTACGCGTCGGATCGCTCTCGCTGCAGCGCCGTGAAAGCGCACCGTCCGCGGGGATCGCGTTGTGGCCAGGGCCCGCGCGAGCTTGCCACAACCAAAAATCAGAAGGACGAGGCGGGGGAGCACTGGAATTTCAGGAGCCGAAAATCAGATGCACGAGTCACTCACAGTATCACTGCTATGTAAGTGCAGAGAGTGTTGTACACCCACCAAGAAAGAAGCAAATCCGGGAGAATAACGCCACGAAGCAAGCGAATATATGGGGTATGTAGTGTGGACATAGGGGGCTTATGCTTTGGGTAGATGGCAACACTGCTTGAAGCATTGACAGATTTGGAACAAGTATCACCCCCAGCTGCAAAAACAATAGCAGGTGCTGGCATTGCTGTTTCTACCGCCAGTGTTTCTCTTCTCCTCTTGCGCCCCACAGCCAGTAGTTCTTCGCCTGACGCTACCACTGCCAAGACCACCAGCCCCACTACCACTACAACTCCAACCAGAAGCGCGTTCCGCACCAAATGGGTGGGATATTCGGGGAATGATTTTAAAGGAAATTGAAGGGAAACCGCCCATTTTGGACTTCCCTTATTTAGAGACACAATTGTGCTGTGACAGGCGAAGGATTCACAGGAGGACTATGAGTCCGGCTTCGCTGAGAAGTACCTGCAGGCTTGACCCGTTGTTCGCAATATGTTTGCCTCTAGGGGGTTGAAAGTTGACGGGATAATGTTTCGAGGAGACCCTTCGGAATCCTGCCACTGTGAGGCTGAGTTTGGCCACACAAGCTTGCCAGGCAGCGGCTGCAATGCAGAAGGGCACAGGCCGTGGGAGATTTGGCGCAGTTTGGCTACTCGGTGTGTTGTGTTGCGTGAGCTGTGTTGCGTGTTGCGTGTTGTTTGTTGTGTGTGCTTTGTGTTTGTGGCACTGCTTGGTTTTGCGGAGGGATTTGATTGAATGCTGAGCTCCTGGCTGCCCACATGTGTTGACGAGACCTCACCTCCCTGCTCCCTCCTTGTTATTTCCGATAACTGCAGATTGGGCTCGAAAGAGCTTACTTATTACTTGGGATGTGGATGAATCTTGTTCCGCGGCTTACAAAAGGCTTGGACATCATAGAGCTGGAAAATGAGACTTAGGCTCATCCTGAAGGTGGTTCCTTTCCCACCCAGTGGAAATCCTCATAAGGTTGTGAAAGAGTGTTGAGCTCTCTTTGCCACACATCGCCTCTGGGATTGGAGGTGCTTTTCACGGGGCCCGAAAAGACAATCCGGGGTCGATGATAGCCTTGCTGCTGGGGTTCGCACACGGCGCCAAATGGCACACGTTGACAAGGGCATGTTGCGTGCTATGGTCTAGCTGTCGTTGTATCAAAGCAGAGGGCATGCTGAAGAGGTCGTTCTGAAAGGTGGTCTGGTTGAATCTAAGAACGAATGAAGGAGCAAGCGGATGTGGAACGAAGGAGTGGTACGTATGTGCTTGTCAGCGGCATTTGCCCATTTGCAAGGCTTTGGTTTTGGGCCATTGTGGAGCACCCCTAAAATCGCCGCTCGCAAAGACGCGAACCAAAGCGCAGATCAGATCAGATCAGGCCTTCGCACTCTGTAAGGTGATGCAAGCTGCATGCTACCAACAAGTCATGCCTGTCGGGTTCTTGCTGTTGGTGACCAGGCGCTTTGGTCATTTGGATTTGAGCAATGCTTGCTGTGCCCAGCCCTGCTGTAGAAGGGGCAGCACGCTGCGGTTTGAAGTGAACGGGAGATAGCATCCTTGTTTACGCCTGACAAAGTGGAGAGCCATATTGGCTCAGCAAATTGCACGGGCTTAGGCCCTCTGAGGCATTAGGAACCTCAACAAAGTGATCCAGTGAGGTTGATCCATTTCGGACGTGTGGATGCCAGGTGAATCCTCCAGCAAAGACTCGGAGGGCAACGACAACAGCAACCAGATGGGGAACATGATGAAGGCGTTGGATTGCCTGGTATTTGCTGGATTTCCGCCTCCTGTAATTGCTTGGTGCTTGAGGTATGAGAAAGTCTTGCTTTGGCTTTGGCAGTCTTTTGGAGGTCAGGAGCCCTTTTTCCCCTGGCCCTGGAGGTTTGGGGCAAATATTCCTGGGCTGCAGGGTCCAGATTGCAAACAACCCAACAACATGACCGTCATGTTGCTTTGCAGCCACGCAAGAATTGGTGTGCTCAGTTGGAGGCAACCATTTGTCGTTTTTGAACATGTGTGAAAGCAGGTGAGAATGATATGTTTGCGAGATGACTATCTCGGGCCTAGATTAATTTCTCTGGGAAAACTACGTCTTTGTTCACTGTCCAAGCTCCAAGGGTATGCTGGCAGACACATTGGCAAGACAACCGACATCCTGAAAACCGATGCCCAAAGGCATCGCCAAGGTGATTCAGACGAACGGCTCGGAAAGGATCCTGGCGCAGAAGAGAAAACAGGCTGTTGTTTCAGTTGATTTCCTGTAATAGTTTTTCTCTGAGACGTTGTCAGCAGCTCTTGCATTTGCCTCACAACTGTTTCCACGGATTTTCGTTAGACACTCATAAAGTGCGATGCGCATATCTTCATGAGCTGTCCATGGGTACATGCGGGCCGGCAGCAGAGTCGTTGCTGCTGACCCTGTCATCCGATAGAAACGCACAGTTGCCCACTGCCGACCTTGGCTCGTTTATGGTTTTGAAAGTGGCGGGATTGATTCGTTGGGTTTGCTGATGGAAGTCTGGGCCCAAGCCATCTTGAGAAAGGTCCGTGTAGGATTTTCGATAGCCAGGCAGATGTTGTCATTTTGTAGCCTCTTGACCCCACTGAGTCATCAGAATTGTTTCCAAGGGCCCGGACCAGTCGCTTTTAGAGCGTCAGAGCCCTACTTGGAATGGCGGAGGTGGAGATTTCTCGTAATTATTCAACCGCAAAAGGGTCTCTCTTTTCTCCCCCGGCGTGTGTGAAAGCCAGGGACCGCCAAGTGGAACCAACATCAAAAGAAACGCCCATTTGGAGGGGTCCAAATTCTGACGCAGCGTCCAACAACGTGTTTTTTGTAGTAACTTGGGTTGTGGTAGGGCTTCCCAGCGCGAGGCCATGATGAACATGATGATGGGCTCCTTGGTGAATGGCTGTGAATTGCGTAGGTTTGGTGGGGGGTTACTTCGGGGTCCCAAGTGTTTGGTGTCCTTTCGGATTCCCTTTCAAAGCATTCAGAGAGGAGTTTCCATGGGCCATTGCTGGAAATACGAAAAGATGGATAATTGTTACTTGACGGATTAATAGATGGCCTCTTGCCGTGAATACTCCTGATCAATTCTTGTGGGTCATGAAGTACTTGCAAAACTGGAGAACCATCCTCGCCTGCCACCCTTTACCTTTGTAACTCAATAACAATATGACTAAACCCAGGGTGGGAACTCGGGAGACAGCACGTGATTGCTTCCCCGTGAGCTGAAGGATGTAGTGGTCACTTGGGGTCAGGCCGCATTGAGCAGGGCAAATTTGCAACGACTGGGGTCCAACATGAGCTTACCACTCATTCTTTGGTGCCTTTCTGAGTCACTTTCTCCCCGTTGAGGAATGAATGGCATGAACAACATGAATGGCATGAACCCCATGATGATGATGGGCGGCGGCTGCGGCGGGGGATGCAGCAGCGGTAGCGGTGGCGGAGGCTGCAGTGGTTGCGGAGGCTGTGGCAACTGTGGCTGCGGAGGCTGCGGCTGTGGCAGCTGTGGCGGCTGCAGCGGCTGTGGAGGTTGTGGCAACTGTGGCTGCGCCGGTTGCGGCAACTGCGGCTGCGGCAACTGCGGCTGCGGCAATTGTGGCTGCACGTCGGAAGCCGAGTCACGGTCATCCTTGACAAGCCTCCACATTCCAAGGCCTCAACGAAATGCAGGGCAACCCCAACAATTGCAGAGGTTGAATTTCCGGCATCAGTTGGCGTGCTTTAACCCGCGTTTAACATTTGAGCAGCTGATTTTGCCTAGGTGTGGAGGATGTGGATGCGGCAACTGTGGCTGCGGGAGCTGTGGAAATAGTTCCGGGGCTGGCTGCAGCAGTTCCAGTATGCCTGGTGGAAGCAGTGCTTGCAGCAGCAACTGTGGTTGCGGCGGCTGCGGTTGTGGAAACTGTGGCTGTGGCAGCTGTGGCAGCTGTGGCAGAGGGTGCGGCAATGGTAGCTGCGGCGGCTGCTGTGGTTGTGGTGGCTGCGGTGGCTGTGGCGGCTGCGGCGGCTGCGGCTGTGGTAGCTGCGGTTGTGGAGGCTGCGGCTGTGGTGGCTGTGGGGGCTGCAGTGGCTGCGGCGGCTGTGGCGGCTGTGGCGGCTGTGGTGGCTGTGGTGGCTGTGGCGGCTGTGGCGGCTGTGGCGGCTGTGGCTGCGGCGGCTGTGGCTGCAGCGGCTGTGGATGTGGCTGCGGTTGTGGAGGATGTGCTTGTGGCTGCCCTGGCTGCGGTGGATGTGGTTGTGGCAACTGTGGCTGCATGAATTGCGGCTGCGGGGCGTGCGGAAGCTGCGGCTGCGGTGGCTGCAGTGGTTGTGGGTGTGGCTGCGGCTGCAATGCCGGAAGCTGCTCTGCGATTGGCAGTGTAGAACCTTCGGACAGCAAAGACAGCAAGGACAGCAAAGGCCTGAGCCAGAGTGCAATTCTGCCTGGAATGTGTTTGTGTGTGTAGAGTCTGTTGCCCGCTTGTCATTGCACCTAGGAGGGCATCGTGCATGTCAATACTTTGTACTGTGTGGTGGTCTGTGGCTCCCACAGTGTTCTGTTTTGGTTATTTGAATGGACCTCAGAATAATATGTTTGCAGCGAAGCTGTCCACTTGAATGAGACAGGGCTGGCGCATGGGCACTTGAACAGGCTCAGACAGGCACGTACGCATGCAGAAAACAAAAAAAACACCAAACACACACAGAGACCACGTCTTTGACACACAAGCAAGCCGAGCACGCTCGCACGCACGGCAAGGCAAGGCAAGCAAGGCAAGGCAAGGCAAGACAAGACAGCAAGGCAAGACAACAAGGCAAGACAGCAAGGCAAGACAAGACAGCAAGCAAGCAAGCAGGCAGGCAGGCAGGCAGGCAAGCAAGCAAGCAAGCAAAAGGCAGGCAGGCAGGCAGGCAGGCAGGCAGGCAGGCAGGCAGGCAAGCAGGCAGGCAGGCAAGCAAGCAAGCAAGCAAGCAAGCAAGCAAGCAAGCAAGCAAGCAACCCAAGCACAACAAAACAAAGCAACACAACCAAAAAGAAGAAGAACCACGACCAAACAAGCAAGCAAGCAAACAAACAAGCAAACACGCTATACAAGCAAACAAGCAGACAAGCAAACACGCAAACACGCAAACAAGCCAACAAGCACACAGCAAACAGACAGACAGGCAGGCAGGAGGGCAGGTAGGCAGGCAGGCAGGCAGGCAGGCAGGCAGGCAGGCAGGCAGGCAGGCAGGCCGATGCAAAAACGCGCGCACACACAGACACACAGATAGCCACACAAGCACAAGCGCGCACAAACATGGCCACAGAAGAAGCACACACACACACACACACACACAGGAACCCAATGAAATGGGTGCCAACTGAATGTCCCATGATATGGCTTTGCAATTTCATGGTCTGCCTGCCCCCCCCCCCCAGCCCTCTCCAACGGAGGGCGCTTCAGGTGGCACCGAAGAGGCAGAGTCTAAGTCTGGGAAGGACCGCTTCCAGCCCTACTGAGCGCCCGTGGTGCCGTTGCGCCGGAAGATTTCGGGACAAGCCCTGCGGGCATTTTGTTCTTTCGGTTTCGTTCACAAGGCAAGGTCTCCAAGATCGCAGTTTTCTTTGGGCTGATCAAACCCCAAGCTTTCATGGCGCCACGGTTCGCGGATCTGTCTCACAATTCCATGCCTCAAGTGTGTTAGTCGCCAGACTCCTGGAAAACGGCTCGCCGCATGATGCAAAGCTTGGCATGACTTGTAAACGCTAGTGTGAGCCTCGCTCTGCGCTGAGACTTTTGGATTTATATGACTTGCATTATGTATATGGCGTGTTCTTGAGTACGACGCCTGCCTGGCGCGCTTTGCAAGTGAGTCCTCAGGTTTCCAAGGGTTTCCTGCCCGGTGAACGGGATCCTTTCGTTGCTTCACACGTGCGAGCGACGATGACGCGAATGCACACTGCCGCAGCTTAGCTCAGATCTGACGCCGCTGCCACGCGAGGCACCCAGGGGGAGGGGCGACGCGGATAGGTCGGTGTCTTAATATGGGGTATCCAGAAAATTAATTTCCCTCTAAACCAACCCCAAACCAAAAACAAAAAAAGACACACCCATAAAACTATGACGGATCAGCAATTTTGGCAGTGGAGATGGCATTCAGTTTCGTCAGTGTGGCACTTGTTTGCTTGCAGGTGCTGGCCATGATTCTGGCCCCACTTCCCAATGGGCGCCCAGTGAGTCTTAGTATTTTGAGTTGCTCACTTTGCAAGCCCACGCCAACCCGACAACAAGCACCCATGAGCAAATAATTCTTGGAAGATTGAAGGATCTCATCGAAGGATATGCCAGGGTCTGGAACGACCAGAGGCTACAGTACCATGGCATCAACACAATATTGCCCAGAATCACCTTCCAGGCGCTGTTTGATGTTCACCAATATGTTGGGTGTGGGTAATTATGAGAATTCCAGCCGCGCTGAGGGCTGTGGTGTTTTTTTGATTTGTTTGGCTTCAAAATCTGCGGCAGCCGTGCTCCTGATGCTTTTTGGAGGACTTGGCTCCAAAAATTCCAGCGTCAGAAGCCTCTCAGTCGTCCAGAGGGCTTGATTTCAGCAGCAGCTGCTAGTCATGGCAAACCCAAATAGGGGAAGGCCTTCCCAAAATCCGTGGATTCCTCCCGATCTCCCTTTGAACAACCGCAAAAAGCACCGAGCCTCAAACAATGAGACACCCAAATTTGAGCAAACGCCGATCTTAATCTTCCTTGATAAACCCATGACCTTTGCGAGCGAGCCTCGGTGCCGAGTTCTGGTGCAGGACGCACGCTTCACCCAGTTGTTCCATCCTCAAGCTGGTGTTTGTCCTAACAGCGTCTCGAAAAACATCGGAGCCCTTCTCCGTGCGGATTTTGGCAGGCCATGGCGAAGCCCGGCTGGTGCCTTGTGGCGCTCCTAGGCCTTCTTCGCTGAGCAGCCGTGTGTTGAAAGCGGGAAATCCGCGTTTAGATCAAGACAACTGCGGCTCAAATGGCACCCTGGGAAATGGAAGCAACGACTGGGGCTTGCGTATCCCTGGGTCCTGAATTTTGAGCCACACCCATACGGAGGAGTTAAAATCTTCTCACACTTGCTGGAGGGAGACTGCGTTGTCCTTTTTGCTGACTGGCAAACTCGCCTGGTGAAGCCTTTGAACCTATTGTTAGTAAGAAAAAAGGACTTAGCGCTGAAGGGATGGATGGGACAGGCTTGAGCAAGATTTGGCCCACAATGAGAATCCGACTTGAACCAGCATGGGTTGCTAACTGGGACCTAAATCAGCGGCCTGTAACAAGCACCACAACGAAGCAAAGACGGATTAGGTCAAATGGGCAGAGTTGTTTCTCAGAGCACTTCTCCGCGACGCGTAGGCTACAATAATGTGCCTGTACAGTTTGCATAGGCCGAGAAGCCTTTAGTAGCAAAACTGTAATTACATTGTCCACGAAGCTGCGCACCTTTTTCAAGCAACGCACTGTCAGTTGATTTGCAAGTGCAGGTATGCGTGTTCCATCATGTTCCCAATTGTGCTGTCAGGAGAACACGCTTTCTCGACTCGACTCCGTGCCGTGGTCTTGGCCAGCGGCTGTCGCAGCATAAGCCAGCTTCCATGCTCCTATTCTCTGCAATTGTGGGTTCAAAATGCTGGTGGCAAGCGGCCCACGGTTGTAGCGGTAATGCTTGACGCTCAACGACCCGCGTCATATTGCCGGCAACCCGGCGGTGCTCGGATTTCTACCCTGCTAGCGCCGGCCATCTAGGAATGTCATGTGCTGTCATACAAGTGCCGATCTGAAGAGGAAGCGACATTGTTTGAAGTCCCAAGCAAGGTTGGACAACGCAGAACATCGCTTCTCATCTCGATTCCCCCTGTGCCTTCTTGACCAGTTCGACTTTTCACTCATTCTTTAGGACTTTGCTGGCTCCTGCGCGCCGCTGCCCCAGCTTCGGTGCATAGCGCGTTCCTTCAGCGCGGGCGTTACATGTGGACGCCCAAAAAAAAGCAAATTAAGGAGGTCTGGGCTCACTAACTGCCGAGGTGTCCAAACCGCTTGGGAGTTCTGACAGGCGCCGGCGCTGCGTTCCTCGCGCCGCCGGCGCGCCCGCAGACTGCCCCGGGTTTGCGCGGCGCCGCGGGGCCCGCCGCGGGCGCTGCGAGCCCCAGCAGCGTGGGCGGCTTCGCAGTGGGTGCCGGGGAGCCCACGGGATGGACAGACTGGAAGCGATAAATCCCAGGAATTCTTAGGATGTCCATCTCGAAGCCTTGCATCTCACTTGGGGGTTTCAGGGGCCTTTTGGAACCAGGATGCCAGCTCAAATGACTTCGGCGCACAATCCTGCAGCTTCTGGATCGAAGCGCTTCCAGTTTCAGCATAAAGCCGAAGCTAGGCTTCATTGTTTGATGGTTTGGCGTTAGAGACATACTTCAAACTTGAACCATTAAACAAGAACTCTGGGCATTTGCTCCAGAGCCCTTGGTGTAGACGATAGATACGAGGACGAAGAGTTCCGCTCGTCTTCTCGCTTCCCTCACACAC